TCCTGTCCCCACCTCACCAGACTGATGAAGGTTTTTCGCGCCTCGTGCATCCACTAGAGTCATTCAATACATGAATATCTCCAGGCTTTGTTCATTCATACCGGAAACATAATTTTATCGGGTGTTTGGCACACTCAGCTGGCTGGATAGCCTTAAATCTGAGCTATTCCGTCTGAATTAATTTCCCAAACAGACTACCTATCTTCGTCAGTTCATAGACAGGAACATGGGTCTGCAGGGGGAACAACAATGATAATAGTAAAAAAGGAAGGGCACTTAAAGATAATGATTTTAATGAACTTATTGCAGACGACTTTGGGAGGAAATTGATTGTACAACCAGTGATCTAATACTACTGATTTGTCCTATCAGCAGCCCATAGTTGCTCAAATGCTTGAAGATGTGATATTTCGAATGGCCAAAACTTCCTTTCAGTGTTTCTGTAATGCTGTGTGGATCAGCCAAATGTCCCGAAATATGTGAAAGAGTCTGTGAAAATCACCCCATTTTGGTTGGTTTCCCTGCTGTGTTTCTGTACGGACAAGAACAGTCCCTTCTCATGCTTTGGGCATCCTGGCCGAGCCGGGGATATCGCTCACCAGTGAGCCCGGTGCTGTGCACACTACCAGTTCACACGAAATAGACCATTCGGTGTGATACGCATAGTACGGGTTGGCTACTTGCTGATTATATTGTTTTCCTCCAATTTATTAAGTGTGAAATATGCATGTATGTGAGGGTTTTGCGGGAGGTGTATTGTTCAGTTTCACATCACTCTTGTTTTGAACAGTCGTCCTCCAGTGCATATGCACTGCTCATGAGCACTAACAAGAGTGAAACTCGAGTCCAGTGCTTCCCCACCTTTTGTGTGGATTCACATGAATGATCGCGCCGGGACAGGAGGACGACTGTTCAAAACGAGTGATGTGAAACTGAAACATGCATGTCTGCTGTTGACTTGTCGGAAAGATCCACTCGTTCTCCTCTTGTATTCTGCAAACGTCCGGTCAGTACTTTGACAAACGCTCACTCCATAAAACGACGAAGTGTTGATTTGGACGTCTTGCTTGGAATGAGAAACGCTTTGGAACTAACCGGAATCCAGTTAGAATGTGAACTTACTTAAGTTAGGGGATCCGGAATTTTATTTCACACGCTGCCGTCAGAGAAGTAGTATCAGACACAAAGTGTTTTTTTCCTCCAGAAAAGTCCGCAAACTGATAGAAATAGTACAGTATAGTATTGAGCAACGCCAAATACTTTCTAGCATGAGCGTCATCTATAAAGTTTGGCATAATCTGGCAGAAAGAGACGTGTGTAAAAAGAGGCAGCTCCTTGGGCTTCTTTGGTGTGAAAGCAGGCACACGTAGGTCCAGTGGAACACTTCCACGAGACCACCAAATGAATTCAGTGACCATTGAAATCCAGTGTAAAGTCAGGCGAGTAGCATCGTCCACACATCGATGAATTACAGAATGCGAAACTTTGACTTTGTCGTAGCAGGCAGACATCCCACATTCTTTCATTCCTTTTGCCTCAGTGTTATCCGTACGGATCAGATAGTTCATATCTTGTGCAGAATTATTTCGACCATAAATTTTCTCCAGACGCATCATGGTACGCAGTTCAGTGTACTACAATTCGACACTGTATTAAGAGGCGGCATGGCTTCCATGAATGTTTGATGTTCGGATCAGGGACATTTCATAGCAGTGCTCGTCGCGTTCGAGTACACGATACAGCTGTGCTTTACCGTCAGCTTTACCCTACTTGTCCGTCCGACCAAATTCATCAATACCATCTTCTTCAACGAAAGTGTTGATCATTATTGGTAAATTCTCCCGCAAAAATTTGTCTCTGCTGTCGATTTTGCCCGGGATTATCCAGTTCTGACGATGTTACCAAATATAGGTATCTCCGCAAACGGACCAACAGCGCTCAGCACACTCATTTACTATTTTTGACCAATTTTCGCAATCACCTCATCGCTGGAACCATTACAGTCTGCCACAACTTGCACTTGAGAGGGAAACTGATGTTTGTGTCCGTTCCAACATACTTTCTCACTGTTTGAAAATTTAAAAAAGTGTGGTTAACTTAGAAACAGCAACTGTAAGCAAACATATGTGGCCTAGAGACCTCCTAGTAATCCGTAACCTGATTTAATCACTAAAATTTAGAAAAAAACCTGGCAAACGAAAGGTTGGGAATGTAATTGAGTTTCAAACCACTAGTAGAAACATAAAACAGTCGTTCAGCAATAACTGAGTCACAACGTCCTGCTGGGCCATCTCGCCTTATTATGTCACATCAGTCGACTAAGCGTCAGTTTGTTCGTTAGCCTTTAAAGTGTCTCACAATAGTCAGTAACAGCAGCTTTCAACCTGACTGGCAATCGGTAGTTTTTACTGTTATCGGTGGTTATGGACATTTTGTTCATATTTGCCGTCAACAGTATGATAAAGGTTTTTTGCTGATTAGATAATCACATGGTGTGCATCTGGTTTCTTAGTCTCCATTCGCCTACCAGACCTCCAACACAAAAGGTGCACACACACCGGCACGAACACGCACATGAGCACGCACGCACGCACCACACATGGTCTTGTCGACTATCCGGGTCTCCGTTTGCCGCCGACGAACGACATCCGCAATCCGCGCACTGTTCTCTTTTGTCGGAGGTGGAAAAGATCTGGCCTATCGCTCTCGGTTGAACCAAACGTAACTAGGTTTCCGCCAACCTTATGTTCTACTTGAAACCAAACTGCATGAAATTAGCGAATATACACTCATTTGCAAATTAATTTGGTTTTTCGTGAGACCCACCTGGAACCCAGCTGAATCTCTCGTTTGTGATGTTTCCAGGCAACTGAATGTGCTGTACCAGGCCGCCTCATGTTTCAGTCGCTACGAGATTCCGAGATATCGGATACATGTATATTTGTAATGCACACTGCTCATAGGGATGCTGAAATTTCGCCGGAAGCCCACGATCGGGGCCCATCAGACAGGTGTAGTTCAGGGGTATTCGTTAACCTTATGTTCTGCTTGAACCTGAATTCATCTGATTAGAAAGATCATAAAAGAGGTTCATCTGGGTCCTCGGTGAGTCTCACGAAAAACCAAATTAGTTTGCAAATGAATGTATTTTGCTAAAGGTAACTAAACCCACCAAGCCCTCACCTAATCTGCACCAAACTGGGGGTGTTGATGCCCTCGTCCAGTTCATTCCCGTTTGTTTTGATTGGCCAAAAGAGAGTTGGTCCACTGTACCCGGCAATTCATTTTGATTGACATGTGATTCACCAGTTGACGACGGGCCATTGGACAGTACAGGAGGAGACGATGAACATCTCCAAATCTGACTAGTGAACTCATCGGTGCAAAAGGATCAGAAGTAATATCAGGAACAGCGAGTCTGAGAAATTAAGTACCTAGTCATGATAGGTCATGACCTCGACTCCCCGAAACATCGGCTATTGTCAAAATACGGCATTCAATACTGTATCTGAAAAAGGGTTTCAGCTTATGCAACCCGGCTGTCTAAAATTCGTTCACTTTGGGCGACTTACTTTCATTAGGAAGTTGCAATAGCCTCAGAAGACGCATCAACTGGATTAGCTCGCTCTTCCACAGGAATATGAAAAACAGATGCTCGACAGCGGGAGAAAGGGCACTCCATGAAAACGTTCAGTTGGGGATATATGATATGCCCAAATCATCTCAACGGTCATCAGCTTATGAGTGGTTTGTAGGCATGAGTACTTGAATTTCAGGCGTGATATTGTAGTGAGTTGTTAATGTTAGCCCCTGAGATCGGGTCAGCTGTGTAAAGTCGAAAAATGATGTCGGTTTTTGTCGGAATCTGACTGGTCAATGGAAACTAGGAAAAGACTTTTTATCTTGTGTACAGCTCAACAAGATATGGACCGAGAGCTAATTAGAAACTTCAAGGAAAAAGTGAAGCCAGGCTGCCCGAGCGCGAACACACAAGTTTCTTAACTGGGCTATAGATGTGTACGACGAATGCAGTCGTGTAGATTCATGGATTTAAAGGACAGCTGAACGGTTGTATTTGGCGCTCAGTATTCGCACAATGGAATCGAATTTTTGAAAACTACGACGTGTCCCCGATGAACTAAAACAAGAAGACAAGTAAATAAAGAGTACCAGCCCAAACTTTTGCCCCCCCCCCCATCTGGGCATCCAGGGGTCCCAGTGATGTTAGGAAAGTATTTCACCGTAATTTTCCACCAGAGTATGATGGCTTGGGTGAACAATGCAATTTGGTGAGCTGAGAAAACCTGAACGTAGATTGGGGTGGTTTTGGTTTGAGAACATACGCAACAGAATACAACATTCTGGTGCGAAAAAGTTTCGTTCAGCTCGCAAAGGTTCTGCAGCTAAGAGCATTGTGCGGCCAAGGAGCCCCGTTGTCTTCCAATATTTTTCGATTTACCAGAGCTACTGCATAAAATTCACTCGGAGGATACGCAACTTCGACCGGAGATTGCTTGAAACGAAGTTTTGCAATATTGTGAATATTAAAAACCTGATGAACTCTGGGATTTTGAGACAGACAAAACTGTATCGTTTGAAGAGTGGTGCCTTATTGACAGGACTGACTACAAACAGCCACAACAGTGGTGATCACCGGCTTTAGGTTTGCATACTTTACTAGATTTCATTTATGAAAAACAGATTTGATTCCCTTCTACTAGGCGTTCATGCATAACTGTTCGCAACGGGCTAGTTTACCACACCTGTCTGTCTGCTTCAGAATCATCGCAATCCACCCCGATTCACTGGCCAATAATCTATAGGCATGCCCACGCCGTCTCTTCGGGGCTGGCTGCCCAAGCAGCCAATATGATTGGAAGACTGTCACAAGGGTTAGTATAACCTAGTACAAGCTCGCGCTCGGCCCCATAGAAAACGAAGTGTTACTAAACCAAGCTTCAGCTTTCGTACAAACTCATATTCACAGGATCGTTCGAGGCATGATTTACTTTGGATTCCTCTTGATCACTGTGGGTGTGGCTCTCACAAACGAATTGTCTATTCGTGATCAGATTGTGAATAGTCTTTTTGAAAAGTACGATGTCAAGGTCCGCCCAAGCGAGTATACACAAAACGAGACTGTGGTCACTGTGTACATTTCCATATCGGCCATCACTTCTGTGGACGTGATGAATATGCAATACACTGTGGACATGCTGCTACGTCAAGAATGGCGTGACCCACGTCTTGCATGGGACCACAACCCACGCTATTCTAACTACACAAAGAATATAGTTTCTCCGACATTCAAAACGAAAATATGGATTCCTGACCTATTTTTCCGCAACGGAAAAGAGGGGAGATTGCATAAAATCACTTGTGAAAACCTTCTCATCCGCATACAACCAAACGGGGACGTGTTGTATAGTCAAAAGATTACAATGCGTTTGGCCTGTCAGATGCACTTGCGAACCTTTCCGATGGACACGCAAGAATGTGACATGGATATTGGGAGTTATGGTTATACATTAGAGCAACTTCGTTTCGTCTGGCGCAACGAGACTCCCGTAACATTGCCCCGTGATTTGCAGATATCTGAGTTCGACCCCCCGGAAGAAATGATTCCGCGTGACTGCTCCAGTCTGTACAAAACGACCACTGGACAATATACATGTTTAAATGTCACGTTCCTTCTTTCGCGTCAGATTGGCTACTGGTTAGCCAGTACATATATTCCAAACACCTTAATCATGGTGGTTTCTTGGCTAAACTTCTGGGTCAGCCCGGAAGCTGTTCCGGCGCGAGTCAATCTCAGTTTACTAACACTTCTTGGGGTGATTACTCAGACCACAAGCTACGCAAGCACTCTACCGCGAGTGTCATACATCAAAGCTATTGACGTTTGGACTATTGCTTGTATAGCTTTCAATTCTGGAGTTCTACTAGAATTCGCTTTCGCCTCACACTTGTCGAAACAACGCAAGATTTCCGAATGGCAGGCGGAAGTGCGCAAAATGGTTCGTCGAGAATTGGCAAGCTGGTGCAACACTTGTCAGCAGTCGTACGATCAGAATGAACCATCGTCAATCTGCCACATCGTTTCCGAGCCTGGTAAACCAGCATCGTTCATTGTTCCGAATAGTCGACTATCCGAATCATCGTCAAAAATGCTTGTGAGGATGACCAGTTCCGGATTGTCGTCAGCATCGTCCATGAAAGAATACAATAGCAACAGTTTGTTTTACAAATCACGTAGAGCAGGCAAACAACCGGAACAACGATGGATGGAACGGGAGCACTTTCCTAGTCGAACCGCTGCGATCGGATTCGAATCCAGCACTCCGGCAAAGGATGCTCTACTCCCAGTCAGCGAGATTCTAGAGCCTGCTGGACCGAAAAGAGGGGAAATTAATGAGATAGACATGTACAGTAGGTTTATTTTCCCTGCTGGGTTTATCATTTACAATTGCATCTACTGGGTATATTACTTGGTTCTGATGAAGCATAAGTAGATCTTCAAGTAACAGTTACACTTGGTACACTTGAACGCTATGTTGGAATTAGCACAAGTAAATGACATGAGTGTCCAATACGTCCCCTGTTTATTTTCTTCGATACACAAACCAGATTTCTCATGAGGTCTTGAGTGACTCGAAATGCTTGTGCTTTCGCCTTGGTTCGTAGCCCTTCCGCACCACACCACACTTCTACACAATGACGCGAATCTGGTTACTTACTTATTATCGCAGTGATGTCATTCCAAGATATGTAATATGTATCACAGTTCTGTTCGTTGTTACTGAAAAATATACACTCAGCTCACTTCAGAGAGGGATTCTTATCCTGAAGTCCACAAACTCTTGGGGGTTACGTAGAGGATTGTCTGGCCCAGAATTATGAGTGTGCGACCGCATTTTGAAACAAGGGATGAGCATGTAACGCCTTATCCATCCGGTATATCAACTGCTGATGTACGTTAATGCAGTGACCTTATAGTTTTCGCCAGACTTCTGCAGACTGAAGCCTGATGAGTTTTGGAACATCAAGATCCTTAATGTGTTGAGTAGGTCATTCATAAAGAACAACACCTGGTAAGACTGAAAACTCTTCATCGACGGAGGCATCTTATCCCCAAGAAACACATCAAAACCTACTACCATGGTCAGTGAGAAAGCTCGTCGAGCCAACACCATCCTCGGCTTCCTACGTGCCCATTCAACGGCGTCGACGACACTTCTCAAAACCCTAAAAACGACCTTCAGAACCACACTTCTTCTTCACAGTCTGCCAATATTTAGGAGTCGTTTCATGAGAAGTCTACCGTTCTTAGAGAAAAACAAGCTGACTTTCGAGAAAGATCCAATAATTGGGACTCATTTATAGTTTGGACCGAATGACATTCTGTTGATTGATGGCTCTCTGGCATGTAATGCAGATTCCACCGAAGACTATGAGTTTTCTGAAAATGTGGCAAATTGATAAGGGCCAGACACATATGAAAACTCTGTGATCCGATCGGAAGTGCTCTGCAACAAGAAGGCAATTAGTGAGACCTTCCCGAAGTTCTGTAGACAAGAAATAACTAGTTTTTGAGTTAATACAGGCGGGGGCGTCAGTCTATACGTATTCTCCAGGTGACACTGGTTTCTTCAATGGTGCAGAACCTAGCATACATGACCTTGATGGATTGGGATCAGGAGAAAGTGTCACAAAAGAAGTCATTTTAATAGTTCGGAAGACCCATAATCTTCTCAGTTACAGCAATACGATCGTTTTGCAAGGTTGGCCCGATTTCACTTGTCAGGTATTAGATTCTAAACCCGTGTTCGTCAGAATGGACTCGGCTGCATATCTAAGTGCAATTCGCATGCCTTGCACTTTCCTGTCCAAGGTAGGTAGAGCCGACTTACTTCCAACTGAGACCTTCAGAAATGACAATCGTCTTATTTATACAAGCTAGTAGTTACATCCGTATTTCGCATCTTCCGAAAAAGGATAATGTGGCAGACCTTGTAGATCTGTCCGCATAGTGGGCTGAGAGGTCATTACTGATGGCTGAAGCAGTCGGTTGAAATGCCACGGAAAAGAGTACCCTCGTCTGCTTAGATGAACAACTCCATGAAAGTGGTCCAGAGCTTCCGGCGGATATCAAAACGATCACTGAGCTAAACAGAATTTATTCTAGCGTATCTTTTGCGCATTGACCCCAGAATTTATGCACTAAAGATATGCAGGTTCGGGTGGAACTGCCAGGTTTGCACACCTTCGCCACTCAACCGAATCCAATTTTATCTGTTGTTTGATCGCGGGCCGTTATTGGATTGGACTGGATTATTGGGGTGTCGCTAACTTTTGGTTACAATTAGCAAAAAAACAAACACTGAAAGGATTTTTCAAGGAACTTACTGTTGTTCTGTCCAGCTAATCGCGCCCGGAAGTTGTGTGAAAGCCATTGTTGTACAAGCGAAAGTATCTAGCGTTAAAGTGGGAGGTTGGACAACTAAGTACAACATAGAGGAACTGATGAACGCCTACCATAGGCTTTAAGTGTTTTGGATTTTGTGCGTGAAACTATGTGAAATTGTTGTTAGATTAGATATTTGATGCCCAAGATTTTGGTTAACAGTTCCAATCATAGCGGTTTAGCAATTTGACCAATACGGTTCATACAGACTATGAAGAAACCGTTTTCACTTTTACAAACCCAGAACGATTCATTGTCAGAAGCAGTAACACAAAGTTGATGCATCTGTATGTATGAATTTATCGACCACACCACGTATGCACCGACACGCAGTGCCGAACGGACTTCAACACAGCTGGGTAGGATAATCGTCGATTCCCCGACTCAGTAAAAGAAACTTTTGCTGAACAACACATGTCCCAATAGAAATCTTTTTCTGTCGAATAGGTTACGCAGTTCGTCTTAAGGGTTACCTACAATCACAATCTAACCATAAAGGAAACTACTCACAAGATTGCTGAAAACTCTTTGACAGCCCACGAAATCTCGAATATCGTGCCAACTGAAACATGAGGCGACCTGTGTGCAGCAAATTCAGTTGTAGAATATCATAAACGAGTAATTCAGTTGAGTCTCTCGTGGAAACCAAATTGATTTGCAAATGAGTGGATTTCTCGAACACAATGTAACTAGTTCGTAAGATGCTTGGGCAATCTATTTTCGAACCCGGGGAGTTTGATGGGTTGTCCATTTTGCTAATGTTACTCATATTTAGTGGTCATACGTCAAAATGTCATCGATGTGCTTTCTTTATGTGATATCTATCGGACTTGGTTGAGCCAACACATTTGTGTTAAAAACGACGGCTAAACGAAGTTCACAGTAGCTGCTCAATCTTGCTTTGACGTCACGGCCAGTACGGTTTCAGTCCAATGAATGCCTCTTTGGGAAGCGGTTTAATAGACTGACTTCGGTAATTCATTTCTGACTAATGTCACAAGACTTTTCTGGAAACGACCACAGGAACACAAGGCAGGTAAGCTAAAATTCACTTATGATCGTGAGGTCGAATCTTCCAAAGCTTGTCCTGTAGGTGGGTTTTTAGACTGACATTCAAATCAGGAATAATTTGTTTACCAAAAACATTTGTTCATCCCACGAATGAAGATGACTGACAGAAATGAGAGAACGAGATTGAAGACTGAGGACATGAGGACTAACTACCTAACTTGGTTGGGGCGTGCGCGTACGATGAATGATTCAGAGAGGAGGGGGGCAATAATCATGAGTGGTTCATCAAAAGCAGTCAGGAATGAAGGGACTTCTACAGTTTAGCAATAAAAAGTGAATAGTTTTCTGTGACTGAATTTGTCTTCTATTAGAACTTCAGAAAAGCATCCTGAATCCGAGATTTGGGGAACCAGGAACTCGTACGATAAAGGCGGAAAACGGTCACTTGGTGATCGGTCGGTGGGGCTGGAAGAATGAAAAAACTTGTGTCGGGTTGAGCTTCACGTTCGGTCAACTTACAAAACACTAAAGAATACGTCGTTCAACTTTGATCTTTCAAGAAGAACAACGCAAGATAGTTAACCTGGAAAAAGCAAAGCACGGATTTCTCCCAATGACAACTCAAATCGTTCTTTCAGGAAAATTAAAAGAATGACAAAACTATCAAACAAAAGGACGGATGCCTTTGCCACACGGATAGTCGTGCCACACCTGCCTATCACCCAGTAACCAAGATAGCTCGAACAAATAGCCACTTCTTTTTGTTTACACAATTCCGGAGGCTAATTGCCTAGGCAACTGGGAGTACATGCACAATGGGTAACGTGAATTCGAATCATCAGATAAACCGAATTCAACATGGACTACTGATTTATTCACTTTTGTAGCCACACTTTGAATCTTTGCGTTTACCTTGGCAGAATTTACCATTCACTTTTGCCCTGAAAGGGTGAGTGACCAGTCAGGTAGCTGTACATTCATTTGCACTCGACAGTACGGCGCACTCCCATCAAGCGACTTCGAAAGCATCAAGCAGTTTCGATCAGAAGCGACTGTAATGGAGAGGGAGAAAATACTGCAAAGGCCATTGACAATGATTAACACGTACAACAGGAGACCAGTTGCCATTCGTGCATAGCATTCATCTCGTTATACACAATAGCTTGAAAAAACCCGCCTCAGGCGCCAGCTTATTCCTCAAGTTTTGGTATCCCAAAGGACTCAAAGTCTCTGACAGACCAAGGATGTTCTTCATCCTCGGTTTCAGAACGTGGTTCGTTGAAAATGGATACCGTACACGAGACCCGAATGTGAAGTGCTAGACAAATTGAGTCACATGGCTCCCAGGAATGAAGCACCAGTTCCTGCCGCAGCAATCTGCTAGGAATGTAAAACAGGTTGGATGGATTTCACCAGCAATTGTCTCATACGAGTAGTACACTGAGATAGGCCCGGGTGGCCAAGTCATTAAAATCCTGAACGGCCATTTCAACGGTTTGAGTGTGAACCCCACCCATGGGGCCGACGAACTGGATAGCAGCACCCATCCATGTAAGCTGTATATAAGTTCCGGAAATAGAGACGTTGAAACAAATTAGCGAAATTAATTCACTTTCAAATCAGCTTGTCTTTAACGAGGGACTCAAGTGAACCCAAGCCGATTTTCTTTCAACTCAATGCGTGGCACAAAATTCACCTCACATCTCACTAGGTACGATATTTGAGATATCGCAATGCATTATCGCGACGGAACATGCTACTCATATGAGTGCTCAAAACGATTCAACGACGTACACTTTGCTACGGAAGTAGAACGAATATAAAGCTGACAGAAACTCATAGACTGAGCCTGTCTGATGAGTCTCAAGAAGGGCGAGACCGGTCATGGGCTATCTAAGAGTTTTCAGCCACCTCAGGTTTAGTGTGTTCCGTCAAGGAGACACGTTTAACTGTGCTTTCGGATAAGCCAATGTTCAAGTCCTTAGACAGTATGCGCGAACTCGGGCAACCGGCCAGAATAGTTGAACAGAATAAAGG